TTTGATTGCCTTTGCAAACCAGAGTCAGGATAACCTGTTGGAAGTGACCTGTGTTTTGGAAGAGCAGCTGTAATATTCCTTCAGTGCCTCTGTGTTGGCATCATTGACTGGGAGAAGGGACCCATGAATGCACAGTTTTGGCAAATCCTACCAGAAGATGACATGGGTGAAAATAGAGTGCCAGTAGCTGTAGTGGAACTTATCTATGTATATTCTACCTAGAGTTACCCTCTCCTTCTTTGTTTTGGTCATAATTGAATTAACCTCTAAATATGCTTTCCAATCTGTGAACCTTACCTAAAATCTGAAGGTTAATGCCTCACTGATGTACTGCTGGGCAAAAATGTACTGAGACAGATAAGCTGGTTTGACTAGTGTGGGAGCTTTAACTCCTCCTCTTCTAGGCTCTGATTCAGTACATGCGTAGTCTCACTCAAGCCAATAGGATTACTTATGACCTAAGCAGGGATGTAAAAAGGGTTAAAAGTACTAACCATGTAATTGATTACAATTTAATCAATTTCACCAGGCCTGGGCAAAATACGGCCTGTGGGCTGGATTCAGCTCACCAAGCCACTGGATCCAGCCCACAGAAGCAGCAGGGAGCCCCAGGCAGACTCCCCTGCAGTCCCACACCGCCACTTAGAAAAATGACTGTAGGGCCATGTCTCTTTAAAAACTGTGAGCTCGGAGGGGAGAGCAGGAAAGACTTCAGTTGTAACTCCTGTACCCTGCCCCCCCCCCCCCACTCCCTATTGGCTGGCTTCTGGCCAGAAACTGGCCTGTGGGAGCTGCCTGTTTGAACAGGCAGCACACAAAGCACCATGCCCCCCTTTCCTCGGTCTCAGTTATTCACACAAGCACATGGCCAGTTGCAGGTGTAGGGCAAGCAGGCAGGCTGGCTGGCTAAAACTTTTTAAGCTCTGCAAGCATTTAGCTCGGCAGGCAAGCAGGCTGCTGGCTGGTAAGTCTCCTAGCCAGAGCCTGCCTCTGACATCTCAACCCTTTCCTCCACCCCCCTCCCCCACTCTGTATACCCAAACCCTCTGTCCCCCTCCTGCACTCATACTTCCTCCCAGATCTGGCACCCCAGTGCCCTGCTCCAGATCAGTCCCCTTCTGCCTAGGTTACAACCAAAACCCCTGTACTCCAGTCTCCTGCCCTAAGTCACAACCCCTTCCTGCCCTAGGCCACACTCCAAAACTCTACCTTTGTCCCCTGCCCTAGGTCACAACTACTGCCTTCACACAAACTACCTTCCTTACCCCAACCAAGCTCCTTTCTGCACCCATCCTTCATCCTGGTCCCTGCATGTCCTCCAGCAATATCATGGAAGAGTGCGGCCCTCAGCTACTTTCCAAAATCTTGGAGTGTCCCACTGTCTCAAATTATTGCCCATTCCTGAGTTACACAGTTAAACACTGGTAATTTTCTACCGGCTTGGTAGCTTCACAGAGTTTAACCGATTACACTTGCAACTCTAGGCCTATGTTACACATGTTTCGAAGTACCTAATTGAATTTAGGGATGTAATCGAGTAGTTGACTATCCGATAAGCAAAAGCTTATCAGATAATCGACACGCTAATCGACTAGTTGCTTCCCCTCCCTTGCTGCCTCTATCAGAAAGAGGCAGTGTGGGGGGGAAGAGGAGAGGGTACTGGGGGGAGCCAGCTTAAAAACTGGTTTCCTCCAGCTCCATGGGAGGGAGCAGGGGTGCAATGGCTATGTTCCACATTTGAAACCCCCGCTGGGGGTCTTGTACATTTCCGAGATTGAAATGCTGCTGTGTGGCACCCGGGGCCAGCAGGGAGTCTCCCACTGACCCTGGGCTCCATGTGGGTGCTTCTCCTTTGAAATGCACAAGAGCCCTTCAAAGGCAGAGAACGCCATGCTAGTCCTTATCGACTAATCAAATAGTCAATGGAAATCCCATTGACTATTAAATTGGTTAATTAATTTAAATTTAACATCCCTAATTGAGTAGGGGCCCTGTGCTGTGCTATGGATATATAATCACTGTTAGTGGAAAGTGGAGATTACATACATCGCCCCTTTTTGTAACCCTCAGTGTACTTATTTAGCTAACATGGCTTGCCTTTGGAAATAATCAAAAAGCAAAGGAATTCCACCATAAGTGGCTTTCCTCAGTCACGATCCTGCATCTTGTTGTCATGTAAATAGGATGGTCTCATCAACTTCAGTGGGACCTTTGAGTCATTAAGGATGACTTAACTTGTTTTTTAAAATTGACTATTTAGAGTAGATTCAGGTTTCATACCTGTCCTGAGTTTCACTGCTGAATTTTATGGTTGTGCAGTAATTTTTCTATTTTTAAAACTTTCTCTCTTCCTTGTTGCTGCATGAAAGACTTGCACAAAAAGAAACTCTTCAAGGCAGGCAGTTAAATTGGCTGTACACAAAGTGCTGTACATTGTGCAAAAGAAACTTAAAATAGAGATTTTTTTCTTTATTCTTTTAGCTCTGGTCAATTTATATGTTTTATAGCAATAAGAAAAAAAAGTCATTCTAGCCTGAAGTGACTTCCAGTTGGCAGTGTCTTTGTTTGTGTTAGTACTTATTTTACTTAGCTCAGGATAGTGAAACTGGCTTGGTCAACTTCATTTTTCCAGTGCTTTACTTTCTGATGTCTTTGCATTATCCCTCCACAGCAGTTTGTGAGTTGTAGTCACTGCAGGAAAAGATTTACAAAACCCCAAAATTAACACTGTAAGGCATTCCCATATGTACCATTTAACTTCCAGCAATTAAAATGTATTAAAGTTCTGCTGTTCCCACTCTGGGGGCACAATTTTTAGATATAGATATAGAGAAGGAGGGGGGAGGGTTCTTGCAGTTTAAGAACATTGTTCTCATGTTCTTAAGAGGTGGATGAATCTTGAAATTATTTCAGTTTTGTCGTAGGATTACAGGAGAAGAGAGAGTACTGTAGCTCCCTTTTAATCCAAGTGGCTAGTCAAAGTTCAGGTCCCTAGGAATGTTCCTGTTGGAAGTAGAAACTGATAGTGTAGTATTTTCTTTGGCACAATCTTGTTTATTTACAAGAAATGTACAAAGTCCTGTGTCTCTGAACATAGGAGGAATCAAATAGTAAAAAGTTTATTTTGTTCACAGCACCAAGGGCTCTCTCTTTTTTTTTTTTAGCCTGCACCCATGACCCAAAAACCTCTTCTCAGGTTTCATCCCTAGTCAACCGCCATGCTCTTTCCAGCTATCTGTTCGTGTCTGACTTCAGTGTGGGAGGGATACAAAACACTGCCAAAACCATACACAGCCAAAAGCCCCTGGATGTGTTTCCACACACCTTTTTTTATCTTATATGTGGCTTATGCTTACAGTTATGTTAATTCAGGAGTGAATTAAATTTACCAATCTCAAGGGGGTTTCTTGCAACCCATAACAAGATTTCACCCAATTCCGTGATACTACAGACAGTAGAGAGAAGGCAGGGAAGAGTCAACAATTGCATAACCCCTTTTTAAAGCCATTGGATCATACCACTCACAAAAGTCACTGTAGGAATTCAGACATACAACACACTAATTTTTTTGATACACCGAGAGAAAATCCAAAAAGTAGCCATAGTCGTTCCTAATAGAGCGCTGACGCAATTTGGCTTTGAATGGCACACAAGAATGCTGTTGGATACAGCAGAGCCACTTTGCAACATGCTACAATATTTTGTGATACACAGTGTTGTCACAAGGTAACTTTGGAAGTGAAACCTCATAATCAGTGCTATTGTCTTTCATATCTCCTTCCTAAGTGCTTATATTTAAGGTGAGACAGAGCTCAGGGGAGCAGAAAGTTGGGTTTTTTAAGTAACATTGAAATGAAAAGCTTGATTGTATGTTAGTCTAATTATGCAGTTATGCTTGTCCCAATTCCCCATTCCCAAAGTGGTATGCAGTTACAGACAGTAAGCTTGCACTGAGAATGTAAGTGTGTGTGTTTCATTTCAGAAAAGCTGCCAGATAAAACCACAAATATTTAAGGTGGTTAGGCAGGAATGGACTCCTTAAACCCTAAACTCCATGATTTTGTGTTAGTTTAAAAACTGTGCACTCCTCTAATAGAGCTGTTTCGGGTGCCACAAATCTTGTGTGTTTTTCCGTGCAGTGTGTGTAGAATAGAAGTCTTTATAAGGGGCTTCACTGCAGCTGAGAGCCAAGTTACATTTGCCCAGTGCCAAAGTACTATAATTTCATGGATTGGTTTCTTGGTAATATGCAGAAAATGTTATTGTGGGCTGCCTTTTTTAACAAGGGCTATTTCTACATAGCTAAATGTTGTAGGTCTAGTAGTAAGGGGCTGAGGAAGCAGACTGAAGTTAGGAATTATTAAAATAAAACCACTATACAGTATACTTAAAGGATATCTAGTGGTAGTGAAATTTGCTAGAATATCACTGCTGGAGTCCAATTTCACAGGGCGGGCAAGCACAAGCAGTACAATTTGGAGCTTTCCAAGCAACAGTGTCTCTATTCTGATCTGAAGGGATTGCCTCCAGTTAGAACAGGAGTTGAGGGGCCTACCAGGATTACCAATTAGTGTTCAAGTTGTGGCTTTTGTGATGTGGACTTCCGTCCACTAGGCGTCTCATAGGGGTAGCCATGTTAGTCTGTAACTTTAAAAATGAGTAGTCCTGTGGCACCTTAGAGATTAACAATATGTATAGTATCGTAAGCTTTGGTAGGGGAAAAAACCCACTTCTGTAGTTGAGCTTGAGACCACTAGGAGCTCATTTGAAATGCTTATTTGTATTGGCTCTTTCAGGACTTGAGGGTGAGTCTCATATCTTTTACAATATTTTATTTGAAACATAGGAATACGAGACTTCCCATGCCAGTTCAGAGGTAACCAAACAAAATCGCACCACCTGGCCAGTTGTGAAATATTTGACACAGTGAAGTGAGGGGTGTCCTTCCTGTCCAGTGTGGTGGCCACCTTTTAAGCTTTGAAGTGTCTGCTTTGTTTAGCACAAAGTGCAAACATTTTGTTCTTTCTGTACAGCTTCTAGCACTTTTTGTTCCATGATGAGGGCTTCTAGGCATGACAATAATGCAAATAATAAATAATAATGGTGAGCATTGTCCAGCATCAGTTAAATTCAGCTATATTCGTTGACAAAAAAAATTGAGTATTGCAAGTGTTTGCATAACCGCAACAAAGACTGTACAGTCCTGGCTAGTGCTGCAGTTCAAGATCTTGAGGGTTGGATGGCAGGGCGAACACTGCAAAGCAGTTTTTGTGAATCTGGGATTTTCACTTGAGTCAACTGTGCTTGTCCCCGTCTCTGCTAGAGGAAAGAAAACACTTCCAGGGAACAAGTTTACTTGTGGGAATGTTCATGGAAACAGCTAAATTTAAGCAAATGTTGGAAAATATCAGGAAGTAGCTCTTAAATTCATAAACTTGAGTATTTGCACCAGAAACTTTTATTCTAAAAGTGAAATGACCC